TTTTAAACGCATTGCTTGAATAAAACTGACCAGACACATTCAATTTACCAGACTATTGAACAACTAGGAAAAGCGAAAAAAATACTTCTTACCGCCAGCATAAATGCGTAATTATTTTTTTTTACAGAAAAAGTAATTTTTCACCTTTGATTGAGTAACGCGTCGTAGAATGCAGATACGGGCATGCAAAATACACTTGTGAAAAGCTTGAAGTCTGGCGATTCTAAAAATATATACTTTCCCGGGTCTATTTGTAGTCATTCAGTCACAATTAGAAGATGAAAACAAGTATGCAAATAATAGTCCCGCTACCTTAAATGACACGCAGATAACTGTTTGGTTTGATGACATTCACACATGTTATATATGGACACAAAATAATGCCGCTTCACTTGGTAATTTCATTTGTAAACATCACAACAATCTGACTGTAATTACACATGTTACTATTGAAAGATAACATCCTCAATTAATGGTCTGTCAACTTATTCCAATATTAAAGAGTTGCGGTCGTCGCTCAGCGCGTGTTCCAAGTAAACAGCAAGTAAACGACCACCGCCCTTTAATAATTATACAAACAGAAGATTTTATTGACTAGCTCTTTGTCCAGTTTGCAGATAATATTTTATTTTAAAAATTGTGACAATCCGTAAGCAATTTGCGTACGGGTTTATTCATACGTGCATACAAAAAATAGTTTTAAAGGTGACAACAACGTCAAATTGCATTCATATTGACGGTGTGCTTTCCGTGAAAATTTTATGTATAGGTAAGATCACGGTCCGAGGTGACTATGAGAATTTTAAAGGAGGGCCGTAGGCCAGACTTCTAATTCTCTTAGCCACCGAGGGGCGTGATCTAGCCGACGTAGCACTGGCCAATCAGCCCGCGAAGAGATTCGCATTATCCAATCAAATGATGACATTTTGACAGCAATCAAACTTGTGAAATGACATTTTAGTACATTATGTTACATTCTGTCAAAATGTTGCAACGATGGCGTACGTGCTGTCAGTAGTGTCAGTTGAATCGAGCGTAAATAAATGGATACATTGTATCTGATCTTGGTGTTATGAAATAAATTGTCGCAGAGAAAATCCTTTGTTTTCTTGCGTTTTTTCAGCCGTGATCTAAGTGAATTCGTGGTGAAAATATAGTTGAACTCTGGTGACCTTGCCCTTTGTTGTATAATATAATTCCCTTTAACATATTTTGTTTCAATATAAATATGCATTGTCAAAATAAATTTTGAGTACAAACAAGTTTTGGGGTTGAACCAACAGTGGGGAATCAGTCT